AGTCAGCAGTTTTTTACAGCAGAAACACTCCCCGGGCCACTCAACACAGGATTTGTTCTACTCTGCAAGGTATTCAATCCCACAAGTCCACAAGATATCTGGGACTTCCTCTTGGCATTGGAAGATCCAAGAAAGATGTGTTTGTCTACTTGCTGAATTCTATTGACAGAAAATTGCAAGGATGGAAATCTAAGCTGTTATCTATTGCTGGTAAAGAAACTCTCATAAAAGCAGTGCTTCAAGCTCTACCAGTTTTCACGATGTCCTGTTTCAAGTTGCCAAAAAGCATTTGCAAAGAGATATCCAGAATCTGTGCTCAATTCTGGTGGAAATCTAAGGAAGAAGGGTCCTCTGGCATTCACTGGAAGAGTTGGACTAAAATGGCTCTCCCCAAGCTGCAAGGTGGCATTGGTTTCCATGACATTCAACTCTTCAATCAAGCTCTGATCTGCAAACAGCTTTGGAGGATCACCTCTCAGCCTGATCTCCTTGTAAGCAAAATTTTGAAGGACAGATACTACCCTGACACATCTATCTTTCAAGCAGCTAGATCTAGTAAAGGCTCTTGGCTTTGGAACTTCTGGATGGATACTCTTCCCATCTTCTCCAAGTGGCTGAGAACTGAAATTAGAGGTGGAGCAGATACAATCACAACTGGGTCCCCCACCTTCCAAAAGCTAAACCTGAAATGCTGCAAATTTCCAGAGATTATCTCACTTTTGTTAAAGACCTAATGCTTGAAGATGGTAGTGGATTGAATCAATGGCTTGTGAAACAGTTATTTTCAGAAGAAGACAGTGCTGCTATATTGGCAATCAAAACTGTGAAGGTGAATGAGAAAGACAGAATTTTCTGGGGTCTGGATAGTAAAGGCACCTTCTCGGTTTCTAGCACTTACAAGTATCTGGCTCAACAAAAAGTTCACTTGCTTGATCAACCTGAGAGCAGCTCATCAACTCAGTTAATGAAGAAAACTCTCAAAAGAAGCTGGTCCTTAAAAATTCCAGAAAAAATCAAGTTGTTTATATGGAAATGTATCAATGGTACATTACCTGTGATGGCAAACCTGCATATGAAGGGTCTTGAAGTGGACATATGCTGAGTTGTTGTGGAGAGGATCAAGAAACCATTGAGCACCTGTTTCTGAAGTGTAAGAGAGCCTGTCAAATATGGAATCATGCACCAGTGTCTTGGAATGGACTCACTACTCACAATATCTCCTTCAAACACTGGTGGCATCAGGTGTGTTCTATACCTAAATCTGAAACTTCCACCAACAGAATACAACTTACTACTTATTTACTTTGGTGGATGTGGAAGACCCGAAACCTTTGGATTTTTCAAAAATCTCTCCTACCTGTTCATTTGGTGATAAAGACAGTTTTTAAGGATTGGAAGGAGTTTTGTTACATTAGACAGCTTTGATGTTTGTGTTAGTTTGTGTTGTAGTTGGTTGTGTTCTTGTTTAGTTTTGGTTCTGTTGCTTGTATTTCTATTGGGATCCTTTTGTTATTTGGGATAGGAGATACTACTAGGCCTTGTGGCAGTGGTTAGGACCTTCTATTCCCTAGTATTGGATTGGTTTGTATTGTTTGAGGTTCTAGGCCATCTTGTAGATGTGCCTCTCATTTTCTTTTCAGGTCTCGATTGGGAATTTTCCCCTTGTATTGGAACTTTGTTCCTGTTTGAGTTTATAATGACATCTATCGTTCTGAAAAAATAAAAAACTAAGAAAAATCATGCTTTTTTTTAATATTTTCTAACTTATATGTGTTAAAAATATATTACAGATGAGAAAGATGACAAACTATGAAAAGTATAATTTATTATTTGTAGTGCATTATGTTATTTTGATGGTATATTTTTTCTATTAATTAAATAGTGCCCCCAATATGAAATTATTTTGCATCCTCCATTTCAATTAGCTTTTTTTTTTAAATTCCATTGGCAATTTTTCCAACAAGTTGAAATATGGTCCGAAAATTCTAACTGAAATTCACACAATAATAAATAATGGTAATTATAATCATTAAACAACAAAAATTTCATTGTAATTTAACTTGATATCTATTGGAATAGATAATGAAATTTTCCAATGAATGCTACACAAATGAAATATTCATTGCAATTTTCAGTGGAATACCTACAATATTTCTATTAAAATATATTTAACATATGAACTTTTAGTCCATATATTTTTTTAAAATCACTCATTATTTTATCTCAAAATTACCTATTAATTTCTCAATCGAGTCAAATTTATTACATATTAAATATTAAATAATAAAAATAATTATTATTTTATATATGTAATATGATATTTACATATTACATTCAAAACAATAATAGAAAATAAAAGGTTAGTTAAAATTTAAATAATCATTTCTTTCTAAAAAATAAAAGTTCTAACCTACATGGATAAAAATACAAATAACTATTGTCTATCACGTAAAACTTACACATAAAACTATAGCACAAAAAATTAACATGCATTGAACAATTCAGTTTGTTTGCATCGATAAGTATAATTTTAAAAGTTTTATGTTTATTTTTATTAATTATAACTTTTTTATTTATTACTTCTTTTCATATTTATTAGTATGACAACTTAATTATATTTTTTAAATATTTAGCAAATTTAATATTTTTGTTTATATTGTTCTTTCATATGTTCTTCACCTAATGGTCAGGTGAAAATTCGTTAACTTTATTTTCTATGTGACTAAAATTAGAAAAAATAATCAATCAAACAAATAAATAACTTTTTTTGTGGGATAAAAACTCAATTCAATAAATTTAAGGTGCAATTTCTAAATGTAAGAATTTATTTTCTTAATAACGGAAGAGCTAAATGAATTGATCCACTTTTTTAGTTTGTTAGATTATGTATATATTCGCTATACCAATGAATATTCGTTGCGATTTTAAGTGAAATGTATGACGGTTGTATTTTTAATTGCAATATAGCTATTTTTTGTGTATTCTTTCTTAAATATTAAAACTTTCATGTAGGGTTTTTGTTATTAATTAATGTAATTATGATTTTGTATTAAAATTATATTAAAAATAAGATGTTTTTCAAAACATCAATTATATATCTTTTCAAAATTTTATTGTCTGGGTTGATTTTTTGGAGATATGAAAGAAGCAGTTTGATAGATATGTGAAAGAAACAAAATTGTGAGGAATAATGGTAGGAGAAATTGAGAATGTTGAAGTTGATTTTTAAGAGATCTAGAATGTTTTGTTCTTGTATCTATATTTATTTAACTAAATATTAATTATTGATTAAAATATAAGATATGATGAGTATTAGTGTATTATTAATTTGCCATTAAAATAAGTCAAAATAAGAGATTTTTAAGTAGTTCATTTGTTAATTAAAAATATAAAAAAAAATGGTATTACTGTATTACTAATTTGCCATTAAAAATATGTCAAAGTAAGTGTTTTTAGGCAAATCATTATTTTTACAAAATCACTCGTCCTTTTATAATAGTATAGATAGATATAGATATAAAACATAGAAATGTATTATAAAATGGATAAAATAAATAATAAATATGCTCTGCAAAAGACATAACATTTCAACTTTGATATTTTAAAATTGTGTTAAACATTATCTCAAATCACAAGACCCATCAACTATTGACTCAATACTAATAGTTCTTACAATTTTTTATTTGACTTGTGAAATTACATACCACTCATGCTCTTCTATTAATAATTTTTTTTCAACCATCTCTTACATTCCATTCAATTAAGCTCTATAATATAAAAAGAAAAGCAACAAATATTACACTTGAAGAGAGTGAAAATTTACTTGAAAGATGTAATGTAGTTATAAAGGATTATTAGATGTCCATACTAATAATTAGTAATAATTATAGGATACATGTATGAATTCAATATGTTTTTTTATGTATTACATTTTTTAAGTAATAAGAAAGACTAACATTTTGGTAAAATGTCTATATATATGTATAGTAGAAAAAATTAAAATTTTGGGGGAGACAATAGCCCCCTATAATATATCTAAATCCACCCCTGCTAACTTGTGCCTAAGTGTACCGAGATAACTTGGGTGTAGTATCATGTGTGGGCGAGCCAAGACATTTTCATGGCGCAATTGAGCAATTATAGCCTTTGGGCGAGCGCGAGTCCATAAATGTATTAGTGTCACTTGTTATTTACTTGATGGTTCCGCAAGTGCTCGAGTGATAGCTTGCACCGCTGCCAAACTATACTTGTATGGGAAAGCGAAGGTTTGACACAACTGAGAAGATTTTGCTATAGCATCATTCAATCATGGGAATTACGATGACGTGCTTGAGTTTGACACAACTGAGAAGATTTTGCTAACACGGAACACCATTGCCTACATTAGTCAGATTATCAGACATACATAAATTGATAAATATACACACTTGACACTTCATTATTCCCATAGTGCCCTGTTGACAATTTCCCAAGGCCAGTTTTCTAGCAGAGAAAGTATACCGCTGTATCATTTCAATTTGGACCAAGTTTTTTCATTTACAGTTGCAAAGTCAAGTTTTTTTCATTTACAGTTGAAAACTTTGCGTTCTGTAGTCTGAGGTCCAGCCTAGATTCACAAAATGTCTTATCAAAGCACACCACTCACACAATTGAAAGCTTTATAAGAAGTTGGAGATCAATGTCTAATGGCACCACCACAATATATATAGCCTTAAACTGATGGAAAAATATCACAGTTTCCAAAGGATGCCTAAGAGACAGGTGAGCCTTGTTCAAGAAACAGGAAAAGGTAGAATAATTAACATTNACCTTTATTGCACATCATGATTTGGACTCGGAGTACATACCGTTTCACATTTTATTACACACCAACTTCTGAAAACAAAACCACAAAAAGTACAAAAACCATAAACATACCACAATCCTTATTTTGAGCATTCAACACAATCAAAATAGAAAACCATCAAACACATTTACTTTTTTCCTCATCAACACTTTACTTAACCAGAGATGTCAATCGCTTTAACCTCGGGCTTCTTGACCTCCTCCTTGGGCACGGACACTGTAAGCACTCCGTTCTCCATGGCTGCCTTCACCTGATCCAGCTTGGCATTCTCCGGCAGCCGGAAACGGCGGACGAACTTGCCGGAGCTCCTCTCGACACGATGCCACTTGTCGTTCTTCTCCTCTTGCTCCTTGCTTCTCTCCCCACTGATCTGGAGTATAGAGCCGTCCTCAACCTCCACCTTGACTTCTTCTTTCTTGAGGCCGGGGACATCCACCTTAAACACGTGGGCCTCAGGCGTCTCCTTCCAGTCTATGCGCGCGTTGGCCACCGCCGATGCGTCTTTGGCGGTGGAGAGAGGGAAACCCTCGAATGGGTCCCACAGATCCAACGAGAACGGGTCGAACACGTTGCTCCGGCGGTTGCCAAGGAAGCTTGGGATCAGCGACATTTTCTTGGTATTTGTGTGAAAATCGAAGAGCGGGTTTGATTGATTAAATGAAGAGATTTTGAGAGTTGCGAGTTGATTTTGATATTTCTGGATAAAGGATTAGGATGGTGGAGGATTATTTATAATGCTGGGTGGAAGCACCTGGCGAATTCGTGAGTTCTCGACTCAGAGTAGCGCTTCGCATATTCTAGATTACACGTGTTCTCTCTACATTCTTCCATATCCTTTCCCCGATAATCCTTCACGAATTAATTTATTCTTCGTTTATTAAATATTGAAATTTGTAATGTGCCAATATAGATCTATTGATGAGGAAGTCTAAACATAAATCTATTATTTCTTTTAGTGAAATATTATTACTTCATATAATAGAAGTTTTGTATTCCATATTAAAAATTATTAAAGCTTTTGAAAAAAAGAAATTATAATACTGATGGGATATCTAAATTGAAATGTACTTGTAGTTATGTCAAAACTAGCATAAATTAATTATAAAATAAATTATGATAAATTAATTATAAATTATATATTTATATGTTTAATGAAAATTCAAAGTTTGAAAATAGTGTAAAATTTGATGGATATAATGATTTGATATATATTTAAATATTAAAATTATTATTATTTTATTAAATTTTGTATGTTTTTGTTGTTATTTTGTGTGTTTTAATGTGTTTTATTTGTGATTTTTTATTTTATTTTAGATTTTTCTGGTCCATTTAGTCGTTTTTGCTCGTTTTTGTGTTTCGTTTGAATGCCTTGTGCCTTTTATTTCTCTTTTTATTTTTGTAAGAAATTGCACTTTAAAAGGTTGTCGAGAAAGGCACCGGGAAGTGCCAAAAATTCGCCCGATAAAGCGTGCCGAGCCGAAGAGACCCGCTTGCATCGCCGAGAGACCCGTTCAAGTCGTCGATAGATCCACGCGCAACGCCCTACACGCCCGAACGACGACCCCGCACGCCCAATGTCGTCTGCCACTCGCGCTCGCAACTAGATAATTTCTTGGATGACAATACAATACTACAAGCATTCCTCTCCTTTACGTCGGTCGGTCGATGCATAGGCTGCAAGGAAGGGAATGCGCAAAAGCAGGCGGGAAAGCATTCTACTCCGATGCTTAGTGGGAAGTGCAGAGTTTCAAGGTAGAAACCTCGCTGTCAACTGGATGTTTGGGACCACTAGCCCCGCGACCAAAGACTTGCATGCATAGCAAGATTTTTTCAAAAAAGAAAAACCATAACATAAATAACATAATACATGGGTAGTCGACGTTTCAAGAAAGCTCCAGCTTTTCCTATTGGAACTACATATAGATGCGACATTAGACGTTTTCTAGAATCGGAGGGATAAGTGATTATCACAGGTCCCAAAGTACTTTGCCCAGGTCGCGAGTCCTCACTCCAGTGTTGTTCACCTGCCTCGCGAGTGCCCAGGTGCACGCAAGTCTCCTTTCCCAGTGGTTGTGCGCCTCGCGCGACCTTCTCCCCACGCGCTCAACGACCTATGACGCCTACCAACGAAACAGCCCGCGACCACGTGAGTGCCAGACCCTGCGAACTCGCGGACCAGCGCAGGTGATTTGGCAAGATAGCGAGAGCTTATTTTTTATTGTGCATTTTTCTAGTGTGTGTTTTAGGTGTTAATATAAAAATACAGTTGTTCCTTTGCATTTAGGGAACAATTCATTCATTTGCTTAGTTTCCACTTTAGGAATCTCTCTTTCTCTCTCTCTCTCTAAATCGAACTTGTGGAGGTTCTAACTCATATTTTTTTGGGGACTTTTCCGTCGATGCTTTTCTTATTAAAGTTCCGACTTTGTTGTGTTTATTTTGATCGAGCATGCATTCAGGAAGTAAGTACTTAGTTTAGGACTTGTTATCTCGATTTTTGTATTATTTTGCATTAGGGAAAAGCTGATGTGGCGCTGGAAAAGCTGATGTGGCGTATAATCCGACTGGGCGCCACATCAGCTTTCCGGCAAAAATGAGCACCGGAACCTCGATTTGGACGAAAATTGCCAAAACAAAATGATAGTGTACCAAAAGTAAAACAAAAATAATTAAAGGACGAAAGTGCAACTCGGGTATAATTAGTGAACGAATGGTGCAATTTTTCCTTATTAGTTTGGAGTTTGGACACCCATCATTTAGGTTAGGAAGGGGAGCTAATATGAACGAGTTTGGACACCCATCATTTAGGTTAGGAAGGTGAGCTAATATGAACGCTATGCTAAGCAGAGAAACTCTTGTGATAGAGTTTTTAGGCTAGGAAGTTGAGATAATAAGAACGCTAAGCTAAGCGCACGAAGCTATAAACCACATACAATCAACAGTGAATAGGCATTGTAGGTTGTACCATAACCACATTGTGGAAGAATATTTTCAACGTGCTTCCCCCATCATTGCGAGGCGATCACACATGCTCCACGAATGCAGTGGCGAAACTAGGATCCCAGCACGGGGAGGGCCCAGATTCATCTTCTTCCGGGCCTCCGGCGGCATCGGAAGGGCGCCCTTCCATTTCCAGCCCCTTCGATTGCCTCAACCTCTCACCAAAACCCCCCAATTTTTTTTTTTTGGGAGGGCCGGCGCCACTCCGGCCCTCAATGTGGTTTCGCCACTGCACGAATGGATGGACTAGGTGTAGGGTTGAAAATAGGGCCAGTAACTTTCTTAGCTTTTCCATACTACACTTTTGGTCCATTACTGAGAGAAACAGTACCTCTAAGTGCTAAACCAGGTGACTAAAACTCGTTCTGAAGAGTGAACTGTCCCTCTTGGAATAATCCGTTTGACGTATCCTTCTAACATGTTCATTACGAAATGCAATTTTTGTCAGCCCAAAATAAAGAAAAGGAAAATAGGACATGGATAGAGCCTAAAGACAACACATAATCAGATAATATAAGAAGAGCAACAGATAGGCATATGGAACTTGTATCTGTTGTTAATGATAGAAACGTACTACATTCTAAAAATTCAATGATTTGGTCCCTTATGGTAGCTGAAAGGCTCAAACCTTCATAGTTTAGAGACTGCAAGCTTGATAAGATCCTTTCTAAGTATTTTGCCCGAGGGGTTTTTGGGTATGGAGCCCACGAATGCGACTCGTCTAACTCTCTTGTAAGGAGCCACCTGTAGCCAGACAATTTCGTTTAGAAAAATTTCAGCATTAGTTTGGAGTATATAAAGAGAAAACCTTTATAATTGGAAACTTAAATATAAACAAACCTGTTTAGCAATGAAATCCATCACATGACTCTCTGGTAACGTACTCCCTTTTTTACGAACCACATAAGCCATTGGAAATTGCCCAACCTCCGCATCCGGAAATCTAATGCAAGTAAAACCAAGAAAACAATTTTTATTCATTGATACTGGATGATCAGGGCCTTATTTGACTACAGAATAAACATCGTTAAATTTATCATAACGTCAAATAACACTTACGGTATGACAGCAGCATCGGCTATTTCCGGGTGGGTGAGCAACACAGCCTCCAATTCTGCAGGAGCAACCTGTAAATAGAATCACATCTCTACATTTTAGTTTGGATTTTATTTTCAGCTAACTTCCTTTCTTTCCTTCTTTTTTTTTTCTTTATTTTATTTATTTATTTTTTCTATTTTTTATTTTATTTTATTTTTTTTTGTGAGAATGGGTAGAAGATTGGTTTTGGACCTGATAACCCTTGTACTTGATGAGCTCCTTCAACCTGTCGACCACAAAGATGAATCCTCCATCATCGATGTAGCATAAGTCTCCAGTTTTCAACCAACCATTTGAGTCCAGGGTTGAGGCTGTGGCCTCTTCATTACTTAAATAACCTGTGATGGTATTGAAAGAAAGTTGAGTATCCATGTGATGTATTAAGGAGATTGAACATTTTTAGTTTTGGGAATAGACTGGCAAACAAAACTGTCTTAATTTGTGCATGAAGTGGTCAAGCATGTGACAAGAATCAATGAATCTCCTTTTCTGCAAAACTACACGTCAATAACATTAGCGATATTGTAAATTTTTAAGGGTACGTTGAAAACCTTGCAGAATTTTATATAAATAAAAACATATATAGCTGTAATCAACTTAAGCTCCTAATCTCCATTGTCAATATATCACCAACATTGGAATGCGTCTGATCACAGTGTCCGGAGAAATGGATGAATTAATATATTTTTTCCAATACATTCTACATGTGATAGTTTACTAAAAAATAATTTCTTTGTGGACAATATTGATAGACACAAGTCACATATTATATATGCGTGTGGTTTAAGGAGAGAAAAAAAAAAAGTATTTTACGTTGGTTAAGTCATTGTTTGCAGGAAAAGTTTGACAAATAGTTTGTCGAGTCCTGTTGAAATTACACCATGCAGCTATTAATTAGACCACCAAGGAATCTCAATTTATGACTGTGAATATATAATAGCTACTAGCAAGAGTACAGAAATTGGCACAATTCAATGAAGATAACATTGGCAAAAAGATACCTACACGCACTAGCCAATCCCTCTCTAGAAGATTTGACCATATATAGTAGTCTTTCAAAAAAACATCGCACTGATAATGGTAACTAATGAACATAATAATATCGCCAAAAAACAGTCCTACAATACTAGCCCACGTAAATATAACTAATGAACATAATTAACATGTCCTACAACACTAGCCGACGTAAATATAACTATTGAACATAATATCGCCAAAAACAGTCCAATTTTCTATGATATTTGATATTTCCCTCTCAATTAGTTGGTGCTAGGAAATGTGACATTTTGCAACATATTAAATTATTAAAGAGAGGACTTTGGAGTTTGGAGAATAAAATCCAAATTCCGATTGGCCCCAATCTCAGGCGCACACACCAAATACCAATAAATAAATAAATAAAAAAACAATAAAGGTACCTTTCATTATGGATGGGCCCCTCAGCCAAAGCTCACCCGTCCGGTTCACCGGCAGCAACTCACCGCTGTCCGGGTCCACAATCCTCGCCTCCATGCTCGGCGACAGCGTCCCCGCCGTCCCGTACCTCCTGCTCTCCTCCAGCGAGTCCGTCGACGCTCCGATCCCTGTTGACTCAGTGAGTCCGTACCCCTGTAGAATCGTCACGTTCGGGTACCTGGCCGAGAAACCCTCAATCACCTCCTTGCTCAACGGCGCGCCGCCCGATAGCACCGACTGCAGGCTGCTCAAATCGTACTTTTTCCTTATGGAATCGGCGTTGTTGACCATCGCCACCAGGATCGGCGGCACTAGCGGCAGATAGGAGGCCGAGAATCGCTGGATCGCCAACAGCATCTCATCCATCTCGAACTTGGAGAGGATGACGACGGTCGACCCGGCGGCTATCAGGCCGGTGGCGAACGCCACAAGCCCGTAGATGTGGAACATTGGCACCGTGCATATGAACGTCTGCCTGCCTTCTTCCAATTTGAACCGGTTCACGATCGTCTGGACCGTCGCGATCAGGTTCCTATGCGTGGAGACCACGCCCTTGCTGGCGCCGGTCGTGCCGGAAGAGTACAGGATCGCTGCCGCGTCGTTCACATGGACTCGCTCCTTGACTCGGGTTTGACTCGGCTCTCTGCTCATCAATTCCTCGATTGAGGCGGCGATTTTCAATTTTCCAGGATTTTGATGGCTGGGAGCGTGAGAATTGGGGCCGAGGATGACGACCGGGAGGCTTAAACCGGCGATTTTGGGGAGGAGCTCAGGGATTGCGAAGGCGAGGACCGGTTTCGAGTCGCCGATCTGCTTGGCGATCTCGGCGGCGGTGTTGAGGGGGTTGGTGGTGGTGACGACGGCGCCGAGGGACATGACGGCGAGGCAGACGACCGGGAAGTAGATCGAGTTCGGGGTGAGGAGGAGGACAACGTGGCCCTTGCGGACGCCGAAGTCGGAGGCGAGGGCGTCAGAGACGGCGTCGACGGCGCGCCAGAGATCCGGGTAGGTGAGGCGGCGGCCGGTGGCGGCGTCGATGAAGGCGGTTCGGCCGCGGTGGGGGCGGGAGGAGATGAATGTGGCGACGTCAATGAAGTCTGTGGAGGGGAGGGGGATCGGCGGGCGCTTGCTGTGGAAAGTGGAGGTGGAGCTGCAGAAGCCGCTGCGCGGGTCGACTGTTGAAGGATTCGGGTTGGTTTCCGCCATTGAAGAACAAATTGANTGACCAACTTTTACGCGGGACATATCTTTCACGTGCGTTCATTGTTTAAATGTTTGTTTGTACCAAAAAAAAAAAAAAATGTTTAAACGTTTGTTTATGCACTTTCTATTTTCCTTTAAATGAAACTAGGGGTGTTCATGGTCCGGTTTTAACCGAAAAAAAACCATTAATTTGGGTTGCGGATTGGTTAAATGGTCAGTTAAAAAAGTTTAAAAAAATCCGGTGATTAACGGATTACCTGCGGCAAACCGCCAGTTTAACTGGACCGGACCGGTAAATATTAAAAGACTATAATAAATATATATATATATATATATACATTCAGTCATTCACTATGACCGACAAATACAATACATTCACTATGAATGCTTTGCTCTTATTATTTTAGGTGTATAAACTGACTGAAAAATGAATGCTTAATTGAGTTCATTTTGCATAATTTAATCTTCATCATTTTTGTATTTTTATGTTTATGGGACAAAATGTGTATTTTTATGTTTATGGGACGAATTGTATATTTTTTATTTCTTGTTTTTCTTAAATTTTAGGCCCAAATAATCTCTTTTGGGCCCAAAATTGAAAAATAAAAATTAAGCCCAAAATTAAAAAAAAAATAAAAATTGAAGGCCCAAAACAAGGATTTTGGATTTAACCAGTTAGCCGCCAAACCGGACCGTCCAATGCGGTTTGGATTGTGGTTGGTTAAAAAATAAAACCAATCCAGCTATGGACAAGAAAAAAAATTAACCGTTAGGTCCGGTTTGGTCATGGTTTGGGCTAAAACCGGACCAATCTGGACCGTGAACACCCCTAAATGAAACTAGACTCAGTGTTTGAAATACCATACCGGTAATCATACTGGACGAACCAACGTATCCGGTTCAACCAGTTTATATTATTTAATTATAGTACGCTACCCGCGCGTTGTGCGGCCTGACTTTAAAAATGATTTGGGTGAATTATAATTTAAATAAATAAAAAATATACATAAAACATGTATAGAGATAATAAAAAGAATGCTAAATATTTTATTTAATATAATTTAAAATAATTTTCTCAAAGTAATATTAGTAGTTGATGAACTGTATTCATTATCCATCATCATGAATAATAATCATTAGACAAATGAAATCTGTGACTCTAGAATCAACAACATGTAACTGATTGTGACTGCAAAGTACCTTGTGTTTTTTGGTCATAAAAATGTTAGAATTAAACTAAATAAAAAACATTATTTGTGATATCTATCTATACTATTATAAAAGGACGAGTGATTTTGTAAAAATAATGATCTGCCTAAAAAACCCTTACTTTGACATATTTTTAATGGCAAATTAGTAATACAGTAATACTCATCTTATTTTATATTTTTAATTAACAAATGAACTACCTAAAAAACCCTTACTTTGACTTAATTTTAATGACAAATTAGTAATACACTAATACTCTTCAAATCTTATATTTTTTAATTACTCACTAATATTTAATCAAATAATTATCAGCGGAACATTGAAGACTATTACGATCCACCCCCAAAGTATGACTCAAATAATTCTAAATTTTACTAAAAATGATAGAGATTGAGGTGGTCTTTGAAGAAATTGTTATGATTCTCTTAGCTAAGTAGTTGTTGGAAAAAAAATAACTCTTCCACAGAAGTCCACCAAAACAAATTGGTTCTTGTAAACAATATCTACAAAATAATCTTATGTAATATTTAGTCCAAATGTTTTATTATATTCTATGTCTAAATGTTGTGCTAACTGAAATGGTAACTCAGAATACTATTATAAAATGATGAGTGTTTTTGTATAAGAAAGAACTAACTAATATACCTTTACTTTGGTCTATTTTTAATGTCAAATTAGTAATAACATAATATATATCCCATCTTATATTTTTTTACTAATAACTAATATTTACATAAAAACCCTTTTATTTGACATTTTTAATGTCAAATTAGTAATACACTAATACTCATTTAATATTTTATTCATTTAATACAATTAAATAAACAGAACATTCCACATCTCTTAAAAATCAACCACAATATCCACACCATTATTTTTCAAGAATTTGGTTTCTTCCACATATCTCTCAAACCGTTTTCTTCCATATCTTTAAAAAATCAACTCAACATTAACCCAAACAACAAAGTTTTGAAATGATATTGAATTTTTGTTTTGAATAACGTCCTTATTTTTAATATAATTTTGATGATAAAATCGTAATCATATTTAATGATTTTAATATATAAAATTTATTTAAACAAAAAATTATGCAACAAAAACGACATAATAAATACTTATAAAAGATCTAAATATTCTCAACTATTTATTTACCTATCTTTTAACAAAACGGTAAATCTTGGTAAAACATGATAACTTAGTTGAGGGGTAAATTTTATATAATAAATAATTTCCAAGATACATACATAACTTTAATTAAGAGAAGATACCTAAAATATTACCGAAATCATGCACACGTGAAATATATACATAATCTAACAAACTAGAAAAATGGAAGAATTCATTTAACTAGATCATTATTTAAGAAAAATAAACTCTTGTATTTAGAACTAGAATTAGATTGCACCTTAGCTTTATTGGATTGAATTTTGATCCCACAAAAATCGTCATTGTTTAGTGGTTTGTACTTTCAAATTTTGGTCGCAAAGCTAATAGAGTTAACGAATCTTCACGTGACCATTAGGTGATTAAAATCAAGTTGCGTAATTTTTTAATTATTAAGACTTAAAATATTTGAATTTTTTCATTCAATTATTAATAAAAATGTTCATGACATTTTAATTATTATTATTATTATTTTATTTGAACAATTAATTTTCAAGTTGAGCACTCTATAAACGATTATAATTCAAAATTTTACAAATAAAATATTTTATTTATTGATATTATTCAAGATTCTTAAATACTTTTATGATTTTCTCAATAAAACTTAAAAGTTTATTTAACCGTAAGTATCCTATCAAATAAGATAACTGTTTCAACAATATTTATTTAATTTCATAAGTTTATTAATATCTATAAGTAAAATATTTAAAATCGATGTTGTTTGTCCTCATAACGACCACAAACTATATAAATGTTTTTTTTTTCAAAATAACATATAAAAAAAAGAATAAATTATGTAATAATATGAGAGATAATTTTTTGAATAATTATTTTGCAACTTAAACTTCTAATCTACTCAATTTCTTTACGTAAAATAAGATTAGAATAATTTTATGAAATTATATAATACTAAAACCCTATCCATTTTTTTTTCATGTCAAATGGGATATTAGTTGAGCAACATGATTTTATTTTGATCACACAATTTTCTACGAATTAATTAAGACATCTAAAGAATCGTGAATTGCACCTTAGTTTTAGTGGATTGATTTTTTTAACACAAAAATCGTCATTTATTTGTCTGTTATTTTGTATTTTTAAAATTCTGTCGCAAAGCCAATAAAGTTAATGAATCTTCACCTGACCATTGAGTGATTAATGTCAAATTCAAATATTTGAAGTTTTCATTCAATTATTAACAAACATATATTATGCAACTTTAATTATTATTATTTCGTTAGAGCAATTGATTTTCTAGAAGGGTGCTCTATAAAAGATGATAATTATATTGATATTATTTTAAGGTTCTTAAATGTTTTTATAATTTTCTCAACAAAATTTGAGAATTTATTTAACCGTAAGTATCCTATCAAATAAGATACTGTTTTAACAATATTTATTTAATTTTATAATGATAAATCTAAGTAAAAAAATTAAAATCGATATTGCATGTCCTCATAACGACACAAACTATAAAGATTTTTTTTTCATTCAAAATAACTTATAAAATAAAGAATAAACTGTGTAATAGTATGATAGATTAATTGTTGAATGCTTATTTTGCAGCCTAAACTTCTAATCTACTCAATTTCTTTGCTTAAAATAAGATTAGAACAATTTTACGAAATTGTATAATACTAAAACCCAATTTATTTAACTTATGTCAAATGGGCCGAGATACGTTGAAAGTTATCTATAAATTCATTAAAAATATCTAGAGAATCATGATATGCCAACATACGTTGAAAATTAATTAATGTTTAACAATAAATTATATTGATACTACCATTACACATCTATTTATTAATTTTTATTATTCTAATAAAGCTATTTTTATAAAAAAAAAATGTACGGAATAATTTTTTTATATATATATTTGAGTATAATATTAATGAAAAAATTGTAATTATATATAATATAATACAAAGATTTAATAAGACATATGACCCAAAAATTTATATAACTAATTTTATGCAATTTTTTTAATAAATCTAAAAGTTATATATATATATATATATATTATATACATATAAAAGAACATTATAAAGGAAAAAATAATAAATATGATAAATAATATTAAAAATATAATTAAGTTATAAGACTTACTAATAAATATGAAAAATGTAATAAATAAAATGTTATAGTTAATAAAAATAAAGATAAATATTTTAAAACTTGTACTTATAGATGTAAAAGAGCTGAGTTATTAAACGCTGGTTAATTTTATGTTCTTGTTAATTCTAGGTGTAAGTTTTAAGTGATAGACAATAGTTATTTGTACTTTTATCCATTATTATCTTCAAATTAATTAAAAATATTTAGGTAATCGTGATGTGCCTATATACCTTGAAAATTGATTATTTTTTACCAAGAAGTTAAATCGATATATTACCATTTCTCATCAATCTATTAATATGTATTATTATTATAAGTAAATTTTTTTATATTTGAGTATAATATTAATGAGAAAATTTTAATTATATATAATATAATATAAAAATGTACAACTATAATTATATATATAAAGAACAATATAAAATAAGAAAGTATTAAATCTATTTAATAATATTAAAAATATAATTAAGTTGTAACAGCTTCTAATAAGTATGAAAAAAAAGTAATTACTAAACATGTTATAACTAATAAAAATAAATATAAAACTTTTAAAAATTGTACTTATCAATGTAAATGAGTTGAATTGTTAAACGTTTGTTAATTTATTGTGCTTATTAATTCTAGATGTAAGTTTCATGTTATTGACAATAGTTATTTGTACTTTATTCATGTAGTTTAGAGATTTTGTTTTTTTTTTTTTTCTAAAATAAAAAACAAATAAACCAACTGTAATGCAATAGGGAAAAGAAAAAGTAGATCTAAATTTTTTTAGAAAAGTATGAATACCAATATCAAGAAACAAAAATCTTTTAAAATTACTACTTTTTTGTTGATAACATTTAAATATATATTATCTACAAGAAATTGGTTCTCATAAATAATTATTCCATATTATCATAATATAGAAAATAAACTTCAATAATAATTTCATAATAATAAAGTTCACAAAGACTAAGAGTATTATTGTATTATAGAATTCAAATTCTTCCCATCTGAAATATTTTGAGAAAAATTATATATAATATTATGTGCAATTAATTATTTGAAATTATTGATAATGATACAAAATATAACACATTCAACATAATTATCATATAATTTATGATTATAGTAATATTTTTTTTTTAAAAAAAAGATACATCTAGGTTGAAAATTATTTAATTATTTTATTACTATTATTGTAACTAAACAAGGGGAAAGAATGATGTTCTACATAATAAAAAGGTAAGACTACACAATGATAAAGCTTATAGCTCACATTCCTTCCAAAAGTTAAAAAAAAAATGATAAAATTAATAATTGTCCTATACCAATTGTTGTTGGCGAATGATAAATGTAAAACATACTTAAGATGCACATCTATAAAAAATATATTTATTTTTTTGTATCGGAAATCGGTATGTCAGTTTTAATTTTTTTGGTTAAAATTTTTATACTTTTTACTATTAATTTTTTTTGTTGCCCTTTTATATGTAAAATATCACATCATTTCTTTTCAATGATGTTTGATTTTACTAATTTATTGTAAATTAAATAAAAATAATATAAATATCTATCAAATATAATAATAATATATATATATATATGTCACTACCAATTTAAAATAATAAATGGACCTAAAAGTATCTTATAAAATAAATTATAGATCCATGTTAACTCAATTTTATTAATTATAAAATAACATTAGATAAACTTGTGGTATATTTTTCTTACATAGATTTGAAACATTCATACCAAGAAAAAAGTGCAAATTAATGTAAACGTACAACGATTACCAACATTAACTATGTGAATTAAAAGAAAAAATAAACGAGTTGTATGTTAAACCGTAGCGGTTGCAAAAATATATTTTTTGTGAATATTATAATGAGTTGGTTACTTAATATTTTATTAAACAATGGAAAAAAAATCGAAACTTTTTAATTTTACAAACAATATAAAAGTACATTTTTATCAAATATATTATTACACGTAAAAAAAAAAAAAAAAAATGCATATAAATGTGCTCTAATTCTTTCAACAAATAAAATATTATTTGTGAATAAAATAAAAAAAAACAAATAAAGCAACTATAATGAAATAGGAAAAAGAAAAAGTCCGAATTTTTTTAGAAAAGTATGAATACCAATATCAAGAAACAAAAATCTTTTAAAATTACTACTTTTTTGTTGCTAACATTTAAATATATGTTACCTATAAGAAATTGATTCTCATAAATAATGATTCCATATTATCATAATATAGAAGAAAACTTCAATATGATTTCATAATAATAAAGTTCACAATGACTAAGAGTATTATAGTATTATAGAATTCAGATTCTTCTCATGTGAAATATTTTGACAAATGATATGTTTCTCAATATTGTCTCAATATCAATTCTGTTTTATTATTGTTGAAGAATCAAGAAATGATATTTATCTTGAATTTTCGAAGCATTATGTATGGTGCAAAAAGTTGGACAATAAATGCATTAAATAAGTTAGACACATAAATATTGCAAATCCGAACGAATTAGAAAGATGTTATGATAAACAACTCTAAAATCATTGCAACAACCAAACTGTTCAATGATTTGCATATAATAGGATATATGTAGTACGTCTATCTTCCAAATAAATAACACTGAAAAGAAAATGTCTGATTCTGATCAAAATATTTTTGAATGTTTAAATAAGTTGTCAATGTTTTACAGGAATATTTACAATCTTAATTGAGTATTGTGCTCGATCATAAGCACAATTACTTTAGAGTACATACTTTCATATAATATATGATGATTTCAAAAATTAATTTAGGTCTTCGGAAAAGTACATGATTTTGAAAAGTCAACTTTTGTTTTGAGATAAAATTCGTCCACACCTCATGGGGTAGGTACCAATTTGTCTACATGGAGAGAGAGAGAGAGAGAGAGAGAGAGAGAGAGAGAGAGTAATGTAGCAGTTTATACAATGATTAAAAAAATATCAAGAATTTTAATGACACAGTTGGTTATTTCACAGAGATATTTATGAACAATTATTAGAAATACCTTATAACAATCATACAATCATGAAGTTTGTCTATATGTTTGACTAAAATATTTCTAAGTGTTGAATAAAACAGACATTTTGCTAAATTAATTAAGATAAAATTTTGTAATGCTATTGATGTGTAAAGCTCCAACGAGAGTATGGATGTTTCTTATTAGAATGTCAAAACTAGAATGAAAGAAAATCACCCTTGAATCTAACATAAATCAATAAAAGAACTCATACAACTATAATATACATTAGATCATTCTTTAGTTATTTAGTTTTTTTTTTTTTTTTTTTTTTTTTTATAGATCATTCTTTAATTATTTATTTTTTATTTTTTTCGGAACTCATTTTTCATATTTTTTTGTTGGGATTGTAATATATATAAATTTTTTTATGTCACAACATCATTATGTTATTTTAAAATAAAAAAATACATTAGGAGTTTACTTGTTCTACATTTTATTTTGTTCTTGCAATGCAATCACATGTTTAATAATTCATCTTTACTAAATTTAATCGAAAAAAATCATTCGCCACCACGTGCATCGCACGTGCACTTTACTAGTTCTAACGAAAAAAATGTGTTTGTCACATTAACGACACTGGTGCGGAAAACAGACTGTGTAAGAATTCCAATTTTACTTACATTTTAGGTCTAAATTCCTTATTAGACTTCTTCTCTCAACTCACTCAATCGCCTGATTTTTCATATATGAAAAGTTGAAATCTTTATAATTTATAACATCATTCAGTAATTTGTTTAAGAAAGAAACTGAAAACAAAGATTACACCCACACAGTTTACTTGCGAAGTATTGAGTGTATATCATTAATTTTTTCTGGCATGTCATTTACAAAGGTATACAACATGTATGGAAGTTGTTAATAATTACAAAAATCAGCTGAGAAGCCAAAAACATCTAATGGCTAAGAGCATTAAGAAGAGAAACTCTGGTTTTGACTAAACTTCTAAACAGGGCTTCTAAGCACTCTTCAAGTTCTTGGATGCTCATTTCTGAGGCTTTTAACTGCTTCAACATGTCTTTGCTGTCCATGTTTTTTAGCGACTTGTGGATATCCAGTGAACACAAATTCTCAACGCAATTTTCTTGCTCAACCTCATCATGTACACGCCCTGTACTTTGAGTGAACTTCGAAATCAATGTTGACCAGCTCTTTTTGCTCGACTTTTCCCTTTTCCCGGACAAGAGTACCAATACGGACTTAAGGATTGCCGAATCAAGCGACTCTGTCTCTTTTAGCATCATCCCTATGGCTGGGAATGGAGTAGAATTTTGATTGGAGGTCTTCAAATTCTTGATGCACTTGTTGACCATCTTGTTGACTTTCTTTCTTGACGCCGCATAAATGCTGACGTCATCTGCTTGTCGCCTAATGGAGGACTGAAGGTTCTGAACAGATTCCTTGGTTAATTGCACAATTTCCCTAGAAACACCACAGAGGTCGACTAGCCTTAGAGATTCCTCGACTAACTCATTTATCCAATTTTTGTCTTGTTCACAAGTGAGCGCTTGTTGGACTGAAGGCATTTGGATCATATTGTTAATGCTGTCGTGAAGATCTGTAAGGCTAGCCAAATTTGCACAGATGGAAGATGTTGAAGTGGCTTGTGAGGCCTTTAGCCTCTCCAAATGACCTTTAACATCATTTAGGATCGGGTGAGATTGAGATGGGAAACTGTTTGATCGAGCATGGAAAGAAGCCATTTTCTCTATCAAATATTGAACTATTTTTAAGGCTGAATGTATTGGTTAAAATCGAGAGAAGATGTCGAAATTGCTTGAGTTCCATCTTCTTGGCACCACCTATTTATCTAGGCATATAAGGAATCATGTTTGCTGTAAATTCAAATAAAATATTAATGGTGCATGTGTTGCATGTCTCCCGGATCTTTATAATGTAAGTTGAAAAACTCAATTATACAGATCACGTTGGCATCAAAATCGGTTGTCATGAAGCATGAGGAATCTTTTCAGACAGCTAACTTTATTGTATTAGTTGCAACGCAAATCATCTACGCCAGAATTGTTTCCTGGCAGATGGTTGTCTTAGGCTCGGAGGTTTTCTGATCTGCAGACAATCACAAAAATAATGTAATGGGGCACATGCATATGCGACTGTTAAGAACAAGACATCATGAGCTAATCAAGCCTTAGTTGAATGTGAGGCTTTATCTTTATATCCAATTAATGCCTGTCAAGATACCCAGTGCTTCACTTGAAGGGTGTTAAAATGTCAGCAGGAACAGTTAAATCTAATATTTTTCATATTTGTATCACTTTTGGGGAACATGGAATTTACTTGGTGGTCTAGTTTAATTCATTTCTAGTTATGATTAGACATCCCATGTAGAACAGATTCCTTCCGCTATTTTTTCTTGAACTAGTAAAGTGCACGTGCGATGCACGTGGTGATGAATGTTTTTGTCAATTAAATTTAGTAAAATAGATTAATTAATTTATTAAAAATATCATTGCAAGAATGAAATAAAACGTAGAATAAATGAGCTCATAATGTAGTTGTTTTTTGCCGATTACGTTTTGTAAAATAAATAAATTAATTTATTAAATATATCATTGCAAGAATGAAACAAAATATACAACAAATTAATGAAACAAAATGTAGAACAAATTATTTTTTTCTAAAATAACTTAATGATGTCCTAATATAAAAAGAATTAAATAACATATTGCAACCCCAACAAATACACTTAGTAACTAAATAATGACTAATATATATTATCCATGCATGAGTTCTATTATTTGTTTGTTTATGTTAGATGATTCAATAGCGTTCTCTTTCATTTTGGTTTTGACGTCCTCATAAGAAGCTTTGCTGATTCAATAGTATTGCAAAATTCATCTTAATTTATTTGGCAAAACGTCTACTTTATTTAAACACTTAAGAAATATTCTAGCCAAACTTATAGTGAAACTTCATGGTTGTATTATCTTTATATTTCTACTAACAATGCATGAATATCTCTGCAAAATAATCAATCGTGTCATTAAAATTGTTGATTTTTTTTATCATTGTATAAACTACTATATTACTCTCTCTATATATATAGACAAATTGATACCTAGCCTATGGATTTATCGCCCTATGGAGGGGAATAAATTGCATCTCTAAATAAAAGTTGACTTTTTAAAATCTTTATTACATGTACTTTTCCCAAGATTATTTGTTGAAATCATCACATATTACCTAAAAGTACATACTCTAAAATAATTGCACATATGTTCAAGCACAATACACCAATGAAATTATAAATATTCCTATAAGAAGTGTCAACTTCATTCAAACATTCAAAAATGTTTGATCAGGCTCCAACGTTTCATTTTCAATGTCATTTATTTGGAAGATAGACGAACTATATAATCTATTGTTTGCAAATCATTAACCATCTAGTTCTTACAGTGATTGTAGAATTATTTATCTAAATATCTTTCACATTCGTTTGGATTAGTAACATTTATGTGTCCAATAACTTTTTTAATGCTTTTATCGTCTAACTTTATGCATCATACATAATGCTCAGAAAACTCAAGATAAAGATCATTTTTTGATTTTTCACCAATGACAAAACCAAACAAAACAAAACAATGAGACAACATTGAGAAGCATATCATTTGTTAAAATATTTGAAATGAGAAAAATTGAAATTCTATTTTATGACTCTTAGTCATCTTTGAACTTTACTATTACGAAATCATTATTAAAATCTACATTATGTATTATAAAGTTTTAAATTTTTAATCATTTAAAATTAAAAATTGATAATACATGATCATTATTTATGAGATCCAATTTATTACAGAGTCCATATATATAAACTCTAGCAACAAAAAAAAAGTACTATTTTTAAAAGACTTTTTGTTTCTAAATATTGGTATTCATACTTGTCTAAGAAAATTCAGACGTTTTCTTTATTCAGTTGCATTGCTATTATTTTATTAATTTTTTATTCTATTGATAAATAATACTTTATTTATTAAAAGAATTATAGCACATTTATATGTATTGCATCATTTTTTGTACGTATTTCATATAATGACGTTGTTATCAAAATATCTTATTTATTAGGCAATAACTAATATTATATCCGTGTGGGGAGGTAAAAAAATGTTTGTCCTCGGCTACAAAATTACTTTTATACTGATTATTAGATTAAAAGGTTTAGAATTTTTTCCAAATGTTTGAGAAAATATTAAAAAACTAACTCATTTTCATACTCATTGAATTTATGTGTTAGTTGAATAATAATTTAACATACAACTCGTTTATTTCTCCTTTTAATTCACATGGTTAATATTGGTGATAGTTGTATGTTTACATCGATTGTTTGTTTTTTCTTAGTATGAATTTTCGGATATCTATGTAAGAAAAATATGCCACAAGCTTATATTATGTTATTTAATACTTAATGAAATTATTTAACACGGATGTATAAGTTATTTTATAAGATACTTTTAGATCTATTTATTATTTTAAATTCGTGTTGATAGTTGATATACATCATTGGAAATAAATGATGTGATATATTACATATAAAAAGGTAACAAATGAAAAAATAATAATTATATTAAAATTGAAAAAGTAATGGTAGAAAGTAATTAAATTTTTAAATAAAAGAATTTAAAACTAACATAGTGAATTTTAATGCGAAAAAAAATATTTTTTATGAACTTAAAAGTTCAAGTTAAAATAAATGTGCATATTAAGTATGTTAGATATTTCTCATTACCTAGCTCCAATTGATATAGGACATTAATTAATTTTATCACTTTTTTTTTTACTTTCAGATTTAATGCAAGCTATTAGTTTTCTCATCATTCTTACCGCTTGTTTAGCTATTATAATACTAATAAAATAATTAAGGACTTTTTGACCTAGATGTATCTTGTTTGTTTTAAAATAGTTTACTAATTACCATAAATTAAATGATAATTAGATTGAATGTGTTATATTTTCTATCACTATCAACAATTTTCATAATAATTAGTTGCACACAACATTATATAAAATGCAGATTTTTCTTATTGATTTGGAATATATTACAAGGGAATTCATCGAAAATTCTGACGAATATTTCAATGTTATTTCTCCCGTTTGAATTTTCCAATATAATTCTAGAAAAAAATATTTTATTGGAATCATGAACAAATCTATGTTTATTTATAGGTCTGGTACAACCCTCCATCACAAAGCATATAGCGTAAGGAATCTAATAAAAAATTGTGGGAACATTTTTTCATAATTTTTATCATGTCTCCTATTTTAAAAAATGAAATTAAAAGAAAGAAAGATACATAATGAATTAATTTACGGCTCAACCAACTATAATTTAATTCAACTCATAACTTTATTCATGTTATAACATAAACGCGACATCACAACTAAAGAAAATATAGTAAATCTCAAAATTACGACCCATCAGTTGAGACCAGTTTATTCATTTTTTTTTTTTTGCCAGAACGATAGAGATATTATAAATATCGCACAAATGTGCACAAAACAGCCACCAACTGATTACAACCAGCCAACAGCTGAATACAAACAGCCAATAGCTGAAAAAGTGGGAGGACAGGTCAGAGACCGCCCTAGAACCGACCCCAACGGGGTAAACTCAAGAACACTAAAAACACACAAAACAACAAAAGAGAAAAGACAATAACACAAGACCCCCACAGGGTAATTCCCGAGTGTCGGACCCCCACAGAGTAATGAAAATGACACTCGGGTGTACTGAGGCCAACGGCCCAAACCTAAAACACAACACAACCAAACTAGAGTCACAGGGGCAAACGCCCAAACCTAAAACACAATTACAAACACAAACACACGACAAACACAAACGAACACACAAAAACCTAAAACAACTAAACTAACAACACAGCCTCCCTCAGCAAATACGTCCAAAGAAGACGGTAGACTAAGTCGATTCCGAGGAGAGCTCCGAAGCTCTGATACCACGCCCGCCACTGCATAGGGCCTAGCAAGACGATGATCCCAGCCTAAAAAACAAACCGAAAAATCGACCCGCACTCCAGCCACAAGAGGCCACTATCTACCCCCACCGGCTAACACCACTAGCCAATCCAACACCGTCCCGAGACCGACTATCACCACTAGCCTGCTTCCCAAAACAGTCGGCCTCCCACAACTCGTAAGCCGAGAAACGGGAGAAAGGGGTAGAGTGGCATCTAAGCTCAGCCGCTACGACCAAGCCCGAACAAAGCGACATCCAATCATCCCAGCCCGCAAGTAATAACCCGACTCATCCCCGCCGCGCATAAGAGGATTAGGCGACCCAATCCCGGCGAAAACGGAAAGAAAAGAGACGGGCTTACCTCCAAGCTGGGCTCTCAGAGACACCCCGAACAGGGCAGATTCGAGCGACTCAGCCTCATCCACGCACCTTAGCACCCCGCCGAGCCCCAATTCCACTGAATTCCGGCGGTCATCGAGCGGAAGAAGGTCCGCCGAAACCCTAGCCGTTACCCAGTGGTGTCAGGCCGATGGCGAAAGTGATGAGTCGTGGATGATTGGTGGAGGCCGTCCACCGATGCTGCCCGGACGACGGCTGAGGGAGCACAATCTGGCCGCGAATTGAAGAAAGCCGAGAGATCGAATTTGGGATCTGGTCGCGAGAGAAGAAAAAACGATAAATGATTTGCTTTTCCAGTTTATTCATTTATATACT